AGTTTTCTGTGATATGAGTGAATTTAGTGTTTAGCCTCTCAAATCATTACAAGAAGGAATTTAGATGAACGCAAAATGGATGAATGAGGACATTGTATCGAGTGGCTCACAAGTAACTTAACTACATAGGTGAATTTCGCTCCAACAGTTGCACATTTCAAAGAAACTACACATTAGTTCATCTTCGAAGAAATTCTTTTTTAAGTTTCTTATACCCAAGCTGGATCATGGTTGCATTGTATAGCAAAAGTTCAATAAGCAGCCATTGATTTGAGCTGAAAATTAGTAAATTTTTGAACATAAATATCGTGCACAACACACACATGCGAACACCGATATAAATATTAGGAAGAACATAGCGGCACTCGAAATTGTGAGAAGCTTTTCAAGTTTTGCATGTTCTTTGACGATAATTTCACAATTGCGTAATGACGGCGGCATCCGATCCACAGTCACATATCGAATATCCATATCGGTATGAATACGATTGTAAGGTGGTTGCCGCCCCACGACGTATATGGTGTTGATCGATGAACCTACAGGCCATTCATAGCGCATAGGTAGTCGAAGCGTACACCTAAGTGTTAGATATGACCTGTAAACCTTTTTAGCGACAATGATTCGAAGCTATAGAACTAGGATTTTGAGCTAAAATATTTCTTCAGGCTCATCCTTGAACATCTTTTACCTTGGACAACTGTCACAACTAGCAATTAGGGAGACGTCATGCAGGCGAAGTTGTGAAAAACGAGGAAGACGAGAGGGATCCGAACAAACTGGATCTGACGACAGCAGATCCCATGTCACTAGTATTCCAGAGTTTTCCCTCAGCTCGGGGGTCACAACGGCTTTGGCCGAGAAGTTGCCACAACGTAGCCTGACCTGAATCAAGACAGAGTAGAGTTGATTTATACTAAGCGTTAAAACTAAAATCTTCATTCACAACTACATCGAAATTTTCTGTTCTGCTGCACTAAGTCTTTTTTCTCTCATTATGTGATATGTTTTCTTGAGTCAATTGATTTATTCCATTTTGTCAAGCTTCCCCTCTCCCCTGCTGTCTACAACAGCAACGCTTCAGCCGACATTTTTATATCAAGTTCATATCCACCATATCCACACATGTCAAGATGCTAAGATCCTAATCAATCTACATGTTTTCTTACGAATATATAACTTATGAAGCCAATGAAATGTGCTGAACTTTCACGGCTTAAGAATTGCCGATGCAGCTTCTAAAAAAAGCTGCTTTTTTGTTTGACATTGAGTATTATTTTTGCCACTAACTGTCTATTGCAATTTTAAAAAATATTATTAAAATAAGGAGTTAATGAGTTGTTTTTATATGTGTTTGAAA